AATATGCCCGAATTTCTAGAATGTATAAAGAAGAATCATCATCTTCACGAGAATATGCATGTACGAAGCTAGAGATAGCAGGTACATTAAAATTCCTGTGTATGCCCAAATCTGTGCGCAAATACAAACATACAAACATGTGTACACGTGTGCATTTGTATCGTATTGTACTTGGTGTGTGTGTGCGTACATATATATGGTAAATGAACATGCGAGTGTGTGTGTGCGTGCGCGTGTATGTGTGTGCGTGTATTGATACGCAAATTGTTATCTTGTTCTCTATCTAAGTATGCGAGTAAGTAAGGAATATGGTAGAGTAGTAAATAATTCTATGAAAATAATTAGTTATACGCAAAAACTGCTTCCAAATAAATAAGCATGGTGTATAGTTTTATATAAATAACGTATATATATATACACATATATATTTATAAATATAATGTAAGGTGTTTAAATTATACGAAATAATCCTAATAGAAAAAGATGGGGCGGGGTGGAGAAAAAAAACTCTTCTCTCATCATCTGCTGAAATCTATCACTACGAAAAAAAAATTTTCTGTATTATAAGGCACACTTAAGAGAAAAAAAAAACCAAAAGATGGAAAAATCCAGTAAACAATATAAATATAAGCATATCGTATGCTACTACCTAGGTATGTGTGTATCCGTTTGATGTGTGTGTGTGTGTGCGTATATATGTGCGTGTAAGTGTGTTTATGTATATATTTATGCGTGTGTGGGTGTATGCATATTAATGCACATGAGAGCCTATAGCCAAGTGTGCGTATGTTGTTGTTGTTACTATCCTTATATGCCTATGCATTTCAATGAATAAATAAGTATATTATTGTGCAAATTAACTCGAATAATTAAGGATAAATAGATAAATATATATATACATACATACATAAATGCTGTATATCTAGACATACATTCAGGTATATATATATATATATATATATATATATGTGTGTGTGTGTGTGTGTGTGTGTGTGTGTGTGTGTGTGTGTGATTTATGATAGTTTTGTTTCGACAGATTATGCACAGCAAACAACAACAACAACAACCATTATAGCAAATACGGAGATAGAGATGAATGAACGGGGTAGAGAGAAAAAAATGATATACAGCTATCAATAAAACAACAACATCAACAACAACACCGACGAGAAGATAAAATGTCAAATATTTGAAAAAATTTCAGTTTCTTCCCTTTCTAAAGTTCTAAATAATTATTAATTACCATAGAAAGTTAATAATAGGGACACTAGAATAGCTTTATATGAATTGACAACATATTTATCTAACCAGTTCTAAACAAATTCACATCTAACCTATTTATGTATCTATCCATATATCTATTTACCTAATAACCATATATAAATCTATAAGTATGATGAGTTGAACTAAAATCAATATTTGTGTATATATAAGTGTGTTTATGTGTATATTCAATCAATCAATCAATCAATCAATCAATCAATCAATCAATCAATCAATCAATCAATCAATCAATCAATCAATCAATCAATCAATCAATCAATCAATCAATCAATCAATCAATCAATCAATCAATCAATCAATCAATCAATCAATCAATCAATCAATCAATCATTCAATCAATCAATCAATCAATACATCAATACATCAATACATCAATCAATATGAATCAATAAATGTAGGTAAGTAAATAATACACACACACACATACGCACGCACACACACACACACATACATATATATGAAAAATATACATGAATAGATGACGAATAATAAATGGAAGAAATGAATCATTAAGTGAAAGTTACAATAAATAAAATAATAAATAAAAGTAAAAATAAAATAAAACACGTAAGTAAATAATAAAGAATGAATTACTAAACCAAAATATAAATATACATATGTATATAATATATACATATGTATATAATATATATATACATATATTATATATATATAATATATAGAGAATAAAATAAAATAAAACGTCTTTTTAATAATGGAATCATGTCAGTACAGGTGATATAATTAAAAAGAAAAAAATGATACAAAAAACGTATGTAAGTATGTATATATATATATATATATATACATATATACATATATATATGAATATATATATGTATATATACACACATACATAAATCACTTACCTTAATGTAAAAATTTAAATCTATGAGAAAAAAAATCTGTGTATATATAAATATATATATAAATGTACACATGTTGTGGAAAGAAAATAACAAACACAATCAACCAAACATACATACAGATAAAAATACACACACATACACGCATACCCACGCAAACACACGCATATCACACGCATATATATATACGAAAAAATATGTAATTATGATAGCAATAATAAGAATTCCTAATAGAAAAAAAAATGATATAACCTTGGAACGCCAATAAATAAAAATTTCATTAAAACACACACGCACGCACACGCACGCGCACGCACGCACACAAATACGTTAATCAGGAGAAAAAATTTTCAGAGCTCAAAAAATTTGCCATTATGCTCGGTACATCAAAAAAAAGAATCAACAAATGATAATAATAAAAATAATCATAAAAAATAATCATAAAAGATATAACAATAAGTGTTATTCTCATACATATATATATACACACACACACACACACATCCACATATATATATATATATAAAGTATATATATAGTATATATATAAATATATGTGATATGAACAATCATTATAGCCAATAAAAATAGTAAAATGTGCAGTTATTAAACTTATAAATATATAAATATACATATATACATACATACATACAAAATATATAAATATGTATATGTATATATACAATCATAGGGCAAATACACATAAGCATTCGTGTGTGTATGCATGCCTATGTATATAAAACAGACATTATATATATATATATATAACAGGCCAATGAAACCGAAAAAATTTTCCACCTCTCCTAATACGATTAGGCCAAAAAAAAAATAAATACCCAATAACATGTAATGAGAAAAATACAAAAAACACACACAAATACACACACATACACATAGGCATTTACAAATGCCTACAAATAACATAACATACACAAGCATGCATACACATCAATATCTTCTGGAAATATATATATATATATATATACATGCAAACACATATATATACATATATATGTATATATAGATACATACATCTGTAAATAAAAATTTTTTTATGTTTTTTTTCTATATGTATTTTTTTTTTATTTTTCTATAAAGTTCTTAAACAATATATACATACATACATGGTACATATAAAAGACGGTAAAATTTACTAACACACATGTGTTAGTAAAATTTGTATGCATGTACGTGTTGCATACAATAACACACACACACATATATATATATATACATACATACATCTACACATATATATACATACACACATACATACATCTACATACATACATACATACATACGTACATACATACATACGTACATACATACATACATGCATGTCCATGTGAGTGATTTAATATAAAAAA